CCCAAGAGCAGATGCTCAGGCTCTGACACGTTAAAGTCAAAACTCACTTTCATTCGATCTGTAACTCTTCATAACGTTGTTTAAACATCATCAAATATGAACAGAGGACTCTTAAAAGCAGACGGGAGCATCCGGAGATAATAATGGAAACGCTTCATGAGCACACACGTGTTTCAAACCTCAGTCTTACCGTCCACGAGGAAGGAAAGCGACAAACAGAAAAGTCTTTGTGCTTTATGGTTAAAGAGAAACGTCCACCAAAAGCACGCCGAGCTTCTTCAGGGTCTTTTTCATAATGTGCGTGAAGGCTCAGTCTTCACTTTGGAAACAGTCCAAACTAATCTGTGCCAAAGGTTCACTTACTGGCTTCGTTCTGGTTGTCGAGGTGGTGTCCAGCAAACGATGTGGACTTTGTAGATCATTGGCAGACTTTCAGACCTGGTCTGATCCGGAGAGACGGCATCCATCCCACTTGGGAAGGAGCAGCTCTCATTTCTAGAAATCTGGCCAAGTTTATTAGTGGACCAAATCCATGACAACCCAGAGTTGAGACCAGGAGGCAGAGTCGCAGTTTAACACACTTCTCTGCCCTTCTTTTTCAGCAGTTACCCACCCAAAAACCCCACAGTGACGGTGTCTGCACCCCAACCACCTGTCCATAAAAATTAAAACCACAAGAGCAGTAGTGCAAACAAATAGGAGAGTTAAATGTGGACTCTTAAACATCAGATCTCTCTCTTCTAAAGGTGTACTAGTAAATGAACTAATATCAGATTATGATGTTGATTTATTTTGTCTTACTGAAACCTGGCTGGTGATGGAGAATATGTTAGCCTAAATGAATCCACCCCTCCCAGTCATATTAATACTCACACTCCTCGAGGCACAGGCCGAGGAGGTGGAGTTGCAGCTATCTTCGACTCTAGCCTACTAATCAGCTCTAAACCTAAACTAAACTATAACTCATTTGAAAGTCTTGTTTTTTGTCTTTCGCACCCAAGTTGGAAATCACTGCAACCAATTCTTTTTGTTATGTTTGTGTACCGAGCACCTGGCCCGTACTCTAAATTCTTATCTGAGTTTGCAGAGTTTTTGTCAACTTTAGTCCTTAAAACGGACAAAGTTATTATTCTAGGGGGATTTTAATATTCATGTGGACGTTGAGAATGACAGCTTTAGTACTGCGTTTATCTCTCTGTTAGATTCCATTGGCTTCTCTCAGAGTGTTCATGAACCGACTCACTGTTTTAACCACACCCTCGACCTTGTTCTGGTGTATGGTATTGAAATTGAACATTTAATAGTGACAGAATCCCTCTTTATTCGACCACTGACAGAGAGTCACAGCTCTATTGTATCTATGTGTATTCCCATAGCTCTCAGTAGTTACGACTTCATGAGCTTCTTTAATGATAAAATTCAAACTATTAGAAACAAAATTCACCACGACCTGCTCTCAACTGGCTCCGAGTTATCTCTAAAGTCAGGAACCTTAGAAACAGCTGTAAAACCAGATATATGTTTAGACTGTTTTGTGATGAGACGCACTTTGTAAAGCACTTTGGGTGAGGGCACCATGTACATGCAGACAGACAGACAGCAGGGGGCAGCACAGGAGCTTCTCTCTGTTCATAGGTCATTTTCACTCCAAAAGTAGAAACATGATTTTATGCTTGATCATCACTGCTGACAGCAGAGAAATGTGCAGTGAGATACCACACGAAACACCCACAGAAGAAAGAGGAAATCAGACCTGCTGCAGCAATATTTGACATGCAAAGAGCTTCCTGCAGCGTTTCTATGTGACAGTTTCACTGCACCTGTCTGTCTGCATCTAAACAAGAGGGAAGGAACTTCAGATCAGTTACAACATATTATTTGATCTAAAAATAGTTTCTGGGAAAAGACTCAACCACAAAGGTGACTGACAAATCTTCTAAAATAAAATCAGACACACCTTCATGCAGTCCACATAATAATGTCTACAGTGTGATCAACAATCCATCCAAATGGTCACAGTGAGGTGACAAAAGTGACTGTTTTTAATTTGAAGGAGATTAGAAAACCGACCGAACGTTACTGAGTATCAAGACGTTTCAGACTTAAGCTAAAAACAACAAAGCTGAACAAAGAGGTGAGAATAAACATAACTAAAAAGCAACAATGAACAGAGCAACATGATGTCTATATACAAGTCAAATATTTCTGTAAATGATCTGTTGTTTTATTGTCACACTTGCTTATTGCACAATCAACTTTCAGCAGAGATTCAGGCAGAGAGCAGCTTCCTCTTTCTGCACTCTTTCTTTATACATGAAGAAGGTCTATGTGTTGCATCTGCTTCATAACAGGAAACTGTTAAACATTTAATCTTTTATGCATGTTCTTTTACTATTATTATTATTACTAATGTCATTACTAATTTTTTTATAGCTTCTAGATATATATATTGTGTTTTATCCTTAACCTTTCCTCTCCTATACTCCTTATTTTAGTCTGTCCACATTTACTGGGGTTTAGGTCTGAGCTGTTAGTTTGTTTTGGTGTTTTCCCCTCTCTTGTTGTTCATTCAAGGCCGAGAGAGGATCTCTGTTCCCCAAAACATAGAAACCTACACTGTGTAAATGATGATGCATCCCTTTGCTCGGGGACAGACAGGCAGACATGCAGCAGGTCTCTAGATCAGCTGTATATTTGTTTTAGTACTTCTCTGTTTATTCTCTTTTATTAATAAATTCTTCTAAGACAGAGGTTAGTTGTTACTCAATTATTTGCTTAATCCCTCACCAGGAATATAATTTCCACGACAGAAACTATCTCAGACGACACGTACTGTTCATACAGGAAACGGTTTCATATATGGCTTTGTTTTCCACTCTACTCAGTGTCTGCAGCTTCGAGTAAACTTCCTCTGTTGTGGTTCTGCGGTGTCTCAAGTTACAACCAGGAAACACGCGACAGAAAAAGAAGGTGCTTTTTCTCTTTTCTTCAATACTTCAGACTGATTCTTTTCTTACAAACACACCAGGACTGAAATAAAATTAAACTGTCAATATGTGCAGTTTTGGTGATGGCGTGCATGCACATGCAGCTGCAGACACCCTGACAAAAACACTATTTCTCTATTTTTCCTGCTCACTGACACTGAAACACTTTGCTATTTGCTTGCTGATATTCTCAGCAAGACAGAAAGCTAAATGATCATATTGATTCACTGCTAAATGCTGAAATGTCTTCCCTTACAGGAGTCTAAATTGAATTAATGTGATTGTAACTCAGATGTGCTGTGTCCCCCCTGATAGTTCCTTTGTGGTGTTTCAAACTTACATCTTGTCCCTGAAAGTACCACTGACAGGCCAGTACACAGTCAGCTGTGTTGGGATTCACTGTTGCTCAGAGACAGACATTTGAAAGGACGTCACTTTGTGTTGAAAAGTGGTGGGGACATAAAAGCTCAGATGAACAAACGGTCTTCAGCATGAGCACTGTTAGGAAGTATAATGAGAAGATCAGTATGAGGTCAGACTAGAGAAACTATTGCGTAACGGTGCATCAAAAGTGTGTAGTGTAGGCTGCTGCAGAGTCCACAATATGAAAAACTATGGCTCCAAGTCACATCCACACCTGCAACACCATGTCAGTCATTTACTTATTATTTAACTTTATTAGAAACTGATCTTCAGAGGAAGAACAGCTGCAGTCAGAGGACAAACAGGCAGCAGCAGAAACATTCATCATCATTTGTTTGTTGGTTGGAAACCCAACCCTCGGTGGTAGATCTCTGGACCGGTGGATAGTGGTTTCATGTATCTGTTATTTATCATTTAATAAAAACAAAAGACAGCAGTCTGTTGTATTTCATTTATTTGTTCAATTCTCCCCACAGTTACCAAAGTGTCCAAGGTCAAAGCTAAAGTCCCACAATTAACGAAATAAAACTCCCCAAAAATAAACTGTATACATAGCAGGTATACACATAAAAGAAACAACACAACATTAACAGAAGAGCAAACTGGAAGCTATAAACCTCCAAACTATCACATTAATACATCGGCTACATTCGCTCACGGCTCCTCCTTTTATATTTCCAGCCAACAACAGCAGCTAAACAAACCAGAACAAAAGCTGCTCCCAGTCCGTAGTAATGTCTGTAGTTTCCCTCCTCGACGTCTCCGCTGTTGGACCCTGAAGATCAAAGTGCATATTAGTCAGGAAATGAGTGAACAGTGGAACAGCCTCCATTTACTCTTCTATATCTTCTATATTCCTCATGTTTGACTCTCAGAATCAACATGGAATAAACTGCAGCTACAACATGGCACACAGACACACTGACCTCCACAAACTCACCTGAAACCTCCAGCTGGTAGATTCTGATTGGCTCCGTCTCAATGACAGCTTTCTCACTTGACTCACTTGCTGCAACTCGACACTCGTATGTTCCAGCGTCGTTGCTGCTCACGTTCTTCAGAATTAAAGACACGTCTCCGTCCTTCAGCTCTCTGTCCACCAGCTGCACCCGGTCCTTAAATGATGGGTGCTGGTAGGTTGGATCTGAGAGTCGACTTTTGTAAAGGAAGACGTACTCTGGCTGCAGGTCAGGTCTTCTCCATTCTACAGCTCTGATGGAGGCTTCACCAGTCTGACATGGCAGAATGACATCATCTCCAGGTTTCACTCATACCACATCTAAAAACAATAAAAACATCCAGAGAGAAAAAGTAATTACATTTCAAAAGGACTCCACAGGACGATACAGTGAGAACATCTTTGTTTAAACAGAAGGCCTCTTCACACCTGAGATCATGGGAACATTCAATAATTAGTTACATGATTTTGCTCCCACAGTGTTTAGACTTGTTGTGAAACATGAAGCTGTGTCAAAATGCTGATGTGATTAAATGGCAACTGTAGTGGCTATTTGTCCATAAACTTAAACAAAAACAAATAATAACAAACTTCTCAAATGGCCACTTGAGGCTACGTCATGGTTAGGCTTTACGCAGGTTCAGAGGTACCAAAGCAAAGTGATGTTCATAACAAGACTGAGTTTGAGGAGGTTTATTCACACACATAAGCAAGCTTACAGACATTTCTGCTGCCTCTCTCACGCTGGTAAAAAACCATATGCCCTCGTGCCTGCGGCACCTCTCACCTTGACCTACTTATGCAAATGAACATAACACCATGTGACCAACAAACCACAATGCAAGTAAAGCATAAATACAAAATAAACCAAATTAACTTTAACCAGAAAAGAAAAGAAATAAATTGGGCTATAAATTAACTTAAGCCCAAAATAAACAAAAATAAGAATATAGCTCCAACAGCAACATTCACACAGCCACTCAGTGACGTCTCTTTAAATTCAGAGATAAATGAGAAGTCGTACCAACTTGTGACAATATGACTTTAAAGTACTTCCTTTTTAAAACTAATAAGCATCATTTGCTAAAGACAAAGAGAATGCACTAATTATAAATCCCATGTAAACCTCTAAGCACTTCGTTTTATTTTTGCTTTTGCTTGGGCTGTTTGGGAATAGCAATAAGGTCAGGCTTCCGTTCTGCTCTGTCAGGGAGGAATTCAGCGTGACACAGACGTGAGAACACATGCAGTACACCAGATCAAGGGAGGGAGGGCTGTCTGTATTATATAAGGATCTATCAGCATACAACAAACTTACAGAATAGAGAGTTATCAGATGAGGAGTTTTCTTCGTGTTACTCTAATGGAAATAAAACTTCAAGAATGCACCTTTAGATGGTGTTGGTTTAAAGCCTAATACCCTCGGTCTATTTGCATCTGTAGATTTATTCTATATTAACCAAAACAAGCTAATCTGCATATTTACACAGCACATCTCAGAGGAAAATACTCTTGATGCAAGTCATTAACTGGGGAAGTTCTGTGGTGTCTTTATCACATTTACCTGCAGTGACTTGTCAAATGTGTGCAAATTGACGCATTTTAATTAGTTAACGCCTAATTTGCATGTCAATGTGGCGATTGTGATGACGTTATTAGCCTGTATTATCTTTTGTCTTTTGTTTAATTGGCGGTAAACTGGAGGCACTGGTAGTTTAGTCTTTTGTTCATCACCACTCACCTCCACACAAGCCAAGAAAAACACTGCTGGGAGAGAAGCTGTCTGTCTGTGAGCTGCGCAGTGAGATGCAGGGAGAGAGAGAGAGAGAGAGAGAGAGAGAGAGAGAGAGAGAGAGAGAGAGAGAGAGAGAGAGAGGGCATCAGTAACTCCAAAGTAAAAAGTAATCCAGATAAAAGGGCACTTTCTCTTGAAGAAGAAAAAAGGCAGGTGCTGAAGTCCCTTTTGATGGCTATGTGTGCACGTGCCTGGTCTGTTGTCGTGTTCATCAGTTTCTACCTGCCCACAGTCACGAGGGACGACTGCCACATCCTGATTCAGACATGGGGGATTGTGAAGTTAAAATGAGCTCTGCGCTTCTTCATACCACACTCTGCCCTTTAAATGCCGTGCCATTTTGTTCTCTGATCACAGGGACAGGCCCTGGCAGGCATATTGAGACACTTTCATCTCTCAGCTACAGATTAAAGGAAGGTGAATGATTGTTTTTGACACTTGGTTACATCTGATCTGAAAGAAAAGTCAGACTGGACTGAGAGTTTCTCTGAGGACATAACACTTGCCTTGGTGTAGCCTGATACCTGGAAGCTCAGGTGTTTTTTGAGGTTGAGGTTTAATTTCCAGCTCAGATCTGCATCAACCGGTTTAACAGGTCTGAACTCAATTACTGTACTTAAGGAGAATGATAAGTATGTGTAGTTGAGCATTTTTATTTAATCAGCTGCAGTTACAGGTTCCTCTGCCAATTAAGATTTTACATAAAACATGATGCACTCAGAGATTAATCTTCCAACATCAGGGAAAATCACTGTACCATATATGATACAACCATCTGAGTGGGGTATTATCATAATGACTTTTACTTTTCATACATTTATGTTTATTTTATTGTTAAAAATGAGTAACAAGTTGAAAAGAGCTCAGTGGTGTGTTGTGGACTCGATGCACTTACTGTTGCAGGTAATGACATAGGAATCAACAGTTCAGGCTTCACATACAGTTTATTGTTACTTTTAGATTGACAGAAACAGAAAGTCACAGTTAGAACACAAAAAGATCTTCATGAAATTTTACCTAATGCAATGGAGTTACAAGAAACCATCAACTCACACAAAACAGAACCTGCTAGTTTTCAATATACATTTATATACAATATAAAAATAGAAAAACAACTTCAACAGCTTTAAAAGTTAAATATTTAGACAACCTAAGTTGATATACAGCCTATTGCAATATAAATTTCAACATATAATGCTGTAAATAAACATTTCAAAAGATAAAAGGGTTTAAATAAATGTTTAGTGTGTGAATAAATCCTAAATTGGAACCAGAACCCTTAAAAATCGGGGGTCAGTGCGCATGTGTGGAGGTAGTGTCTATGGGTGTGAGAGTGTGTAGTGGCAGAAGAGGAACTTGCTGTAGAGACAGAGCCTAAACTTCACCGGTGTTGTGCCGAATTGCCCGCACCTGGCAGGACATTCGAATCATTCATCACCATTGATGAACCACACAAAGAATATTATATAGTTTTTAAATAGGATGAATTGAAATAGATGAAGCGAGGAGCCGCGACGTGCACGCAGCTGTCGGCTGCAGGGCATCCATGCAAAACTCTGCACAAGACCGGTGAATGGCGAGCAGAGGAAAACGGGCAAACAATAAGTCTCAGTTTAGCTGGAAATGTACAGTGTAAGTTACAGCAGACACTCGTGAATAGAGACTGCAGCTCTGCAGCTTCTCCGGATGAAAGCAGAGCTTCCTTGTGTTAACCCCCCACCCCCGCACACAATGTCTGTGCAAAAACATACACATGACTCGACCATCAGACAACTATAGGCAAGACTCAACAATTCTGATTCAAATATATAAATCCTTCATCGAGGACAGCCCTATTATAGAGAAACCAGAGGAAAGGATAAGTTATTTTTAGTCAATATTTCTTTTATTAACTCAGTTTTTTCAGTTTCATGTTTATATGGTGTGTCGTAATAAATTTCAATGACTAAATTTCCAAATGATCATTTACTTCATTACTCAGTTCCCAGCATGCATTGCATTAAGGTTGAAATGCTTATGAAGTTTTAAATACTTTACTTGTAAAATAATTGTACAACAGTAGAAATAAATCAGTAGGTACTTAAACCAGCTGTCCTATTTAGTGATGATCCCGTCTGTAGATTCTCCGCAGATTTGAGACTGTGGCTCTGAGTTGCATCGGGTGCTTTGACCACAGGTCTATTCTTAATGTCAAATGAGGTCCTGGCCTAGTTTTGTTTTCAATTTTCTAGAGTCGTCTGTTCATGAAGGTCTCTGTGATCCATCAGTGCTGAGGTTGGGGCTGGAAGCCACCAATGACATTTACTCTCTTTACTGTGTCAAAGTCGTTTTACAGTCTGCTCTTTGATTACTATTTTAAAAATCTATAATTTTACATGTACCTAATTATGTTTTATACATCCTGCAGCTGCTGTGGAGTTTATATTGTCTCTAGATCTCTGTGCTGCCTTATTAATGCTTTATTCTGCTGTTGAAGTAGCAGCTTATTAAATGGAGCTTAATGAAGCGTGTTGCACCTGCTGCAGTGTCCACAGCTCTTTTTGTTTACTGTCAGGCAGTTTTGTTTCATTGTCAGAGTTTTGGCTCTTTTCTGGTAAGAAAGGTAGCAATCTATGAACAGAAAAAAATATTTGTTTGCACTGATGAGCCAGACCATCATGGTGGAAAACCCTCAAATGCCAGATTAACACATTCACACCCACAGAAAGAATCAAAATCATGTTGAATATATGAAATGTGGTGGAAAGGGATCTGTGACAAGTCAGAAGAACGGATCGTTCACAGCTTCATCATCAGCAGGCTGTTCTGGTTTCTTGTCTTTTATATTTCAAGACAACAGCCAATCCAACAGCAGCTAAACAAACCAGAACAAAAGCTGCTCCCAGTCCATAGTAATGTCTGTAGTTTCCCTCCTCGACGTCTCCGCTGTTGGACCCTGAAGATCAAAGTGCATATTAGTCAGGAAATGAGTGAACAGTGGAACAGCCTCCATTTACTCTTCTATATCTTCTATATTCCTCATGTTTGACTCTCAGAATCAACATGGAATAAACTGCAGCTACAACATGGCACACAGACACACTGACCTCCACAAACTCACCTGAAACCTCCAGCTGGTAGATTCTGATTGGCTCAGTCTTAATATTGGCTCTCTTTTGTCTCGATCCACTTGTTGCAACTCGACACTCGTATGTTCCAGTGTCGTTGCTGCTCACGTTCTTTAAAACTAAAGACACATCTCCGTCCTTCAGCTCTCTGTCCACCAGCTGCACCCGGTCCTTAAACGATGGATGCTGGTAGGTTGGATCTGAGCGTCCGTCTCTGTAAAAGAGGACGTACTCTGGTGGCTCCAGGTCAGGTCTGGTCCACTCTGCAGCTCTGATGGAGGCATCAGCAGCCTGACATGGCAGAGTGACATTATCTCCAGGTTTCACGGTTTTCACCTCTAAAAACAATAACATCCATCCAGAGAGAAAAAGTATTTACATTTGAGAAGGAAGAACAGGGAGAACCTTCTTTGTTTAAACAGAAGGCCTCTTCACACCTGAGATCATGGGAACGTCCAATAATTAGTCACAACTGTTGGGATGTTACATGATTAATGTTATGACAGAAAATTGTGTCCTCTTGCAGTTAATCTTTTATGTATGATCTTTTAATATTATTATTATTATTACTATTCTCGATGATGCATCTCTTTGCTCATGGCCAGATGCCTGAAGCCGCCTTAGCTGGACCAGCTGTATATGTGTTTCAGTACTTCAGTTTATTCAACGGTTGGTTGTACCTCAATTCTTTGCTCAACCCCTCACCAGGAATATAATTTCCACGACAATTTTATTCCCGCGTGATTAAATGGCAACATTCATACTACCAATCAGAGCCCTCAGTGACGTCTTTTTAAATTCAGACAGACGTGAGGGAAGTCGTACCTCGTGGAAGCTGACGTCTAAATGCAGCACTGTTTACAAATATCGTGTATTATGTCTGCATATATGAACTACATGAACACATGTGCACTGTAACGTATGGAGAGATTGATAAGACGAGTTATGAGTAGGTTGTTGTACTTTTTTGAAGTGCTTAAGTAACGACAAAATCCTCTAAACTAGCCAGCATCGGTGCTAAAATAACTTGCCGTTCTTTTGTGGTGTGCTGTGTGTGAGCTGCTTAAAGCGAGCCAACTGTTTGACTGACCAGTACATATTCTGTTCCTGTCCAGATAATAAACGGCTGCATCGAGAGATAAAAGCGCCTCAAACTCATTATTCCAAACACACAACGCAGAGTCGAGGGGTTGATTGAACCAGCCAGTTACAGTGAAGTGTAGCTGAGTGCGGTTACATTAACAGATGGACACACAGAAGTGAAATCGTAACCTCTGTCCACCTTGGAAAACAATAAGGTCACTTTGAGAATTATCTTTGAGCTCCTCACCTTTGAGAGAGTTGGTTTGAAGCTTTCCATGATGGCTGATTTCACACTTGTAGAGGCTTTCATCAGACTTGGAAACATGCTGGAAACCAGCTGGGAGGTTGGAGGGAGGGGTCTCTTTTTTACAGTACTTAGTGGCATCATGTCCCTCCATCACAGGGAGGACAGGACTCTGCAGGATCAGTGATCCACCTCAACACAGAGACAAACTACAGCATTTCATCATTTACACACAGCTTCATCAACACTAACTCCACAGTCTGATCTTACCAGTGACAGTGATGTTGATGGTGTTACTGGTTGCTCCCTCTCTGGACTCACACCAGTAAACTCCACTGTCAAACGGGACGATGTAGCTGATGTTACAGGAAGAACCAGCTGATCTTCCCCAGTCAGCTCCACACTGAGTCCTGGTTTCTCTGGTTGTGTTCCTCCTCAGCGTCCATCTAGCAGAGCTGTCGTCCTCCTCACAGCTCAGAGAGACAGACGTCCAGTCGAAAAACTGAGAGCTGCTCGGTCTCACAGTCAGAGAGGCTGGAGGAAATGTATTGTGAAACACAATTCAAGAGTCCAGCTTAAGCAAACCAATTGAACCAATTAAACAAACCAGATATGACATTATATAGCTGGTAGGTTTAATTACGTTTGGACAGAACCAGGCTAGCTGTATCCCTGTTTCCAGTCTTCATGATAGGCTAAGCTGCTAGCTGTAGCTTCATATTTAACATACACATGAAAGCTCTTGGTGTGTGTTTTGTGGTATTAAATGTGAAGGAGCACTTTTATTTTACACACTTTTAACTTGTCGTATACAAACTCACCTTGGTTTGTTGTGCAGCACAGCAGCAACATCAGCACTGAAGTGAAATGAGACTCTGGTTGGTTTGAGATTCACAATGAACATTCAGTTTAAATCACAAGACCTAAAATAATTAAACATTCAGAAACGGTTCTGAAGATGTAAACTTGGCACTAAAATGAAATAAAAACGTATCTGTTTACAGTAAATCCAAATTTAGTTGCGTTCAACAAATTATTGTGAGTTTTTGCTTTAAACACCAATTATCAGCTAATAGTGGATCAAGGGAGAAACCTGGAGTGACCAAAGCTCTGTTACTGATCTTTAACTGTAAACACATCGACACAATCATCTTGTGGAGGCAGGATGTGTTTTGTGGCAGGATGAGAGTGTCACTGCTGAGGTTTGTCTGCAGCATTGTTCATTAAATGTGACATTTTATGAAGTTTAAAAGTTGAAGTAAAGTATTGCACCCCCTGTTAAATGAGATTTATATAAATGCCTGAATTTTCTTTCTCTACTTTTTTTGTTGGAACAACAAACATTTTCTGACCGAAGAATTCCTCTTTGGTCAGCATATGTGTTGCATTTTTTGCTGCATTAATTCCTCTATGTTGCATGTTTTTCCTGTGATGATCACTAACATCTTGTTTCTTCCACTCTTCGCCAACATGCTGTAAATGAAATTGTTTAAAATGTAGAAAGTACACATTGTACTCACGGATCAGATGAGATGTTGGCCCCATTGTAGCGCACAGTGATGCAGCAGTCGAACCCACCTCCTTCCTCTGTGCTGGGCACTTTGCTGGCTGTGTGGTTTTGCTCTCAGCAAGAAACAATATGGTTTATTTGCACATATGAACCGTGAGTGCATTTGTTCGACTTCATGTCAGGACCACCCACTGTTCAGTATGTTAGGAGTACATTTTTCAGCCTCTCAAAGTCTCATCAGCCTCATGTGTGGATGTATTGCACATTTCCTTTTTCAGAATAACCAGGGCTAGTTGAAAATTACATTATATCATGTGCATTGTTGCATTTAAGATTCATGCCATATGATAGAATACCACTTTTAAAAAAAATGCAGGTTTTTGGTGAAACTGAAAACAACAAATTAATAACACAGGAGAAAATTGATAAAGCCGAGCTGGCCCTAGGCCTTCATTAAAGTTTAATTGGCGGCCCCTCTGACTGTCAGGCATTGTCACTATATATGACACAGAAACGTCTCTTGTTTTAAAATAAGACCCGACGAGTCTTTCTTATATTCTTAATCCTGCCATGTTTGTTTAGCACAAAAACACCAAAGCAAATTTCTTAAACATACTTAGCAATAAAGCTGATTCTGATGAAAAACAATAACTAGACTATACTCCATATTATTATATCTACTATTTTAACAAATGATACCACCACTGCACCTGAGCTTAATGCCAGTGCAAGACCCAGTAGACGCTAATGAACTTAGTTCTGAATAAAAACACTGATAAACTGATTATGACTGACCAAAGCTCAAATCATTAATAACAACCACACAAGAGTTGCAGAGACTACAAAACCATTAGCATAATCTTTCTCAATCAACTTCTTTGAGTGATCTAAACATTTAATGATAGAAAAGACTTTTACTGTCTGAGTGTCTTTTTGGAAAAGTAAAAATGTCTCTGTCAGCCCGTGTTGGTTCCCTACTCACCACATCAAATTGTATTTGGTAATTAAGGATAGACCTGTGAGGGAGATTAACACAGAAAATAAAGTTGTTTTAGTAAATTGACATGTTCATACACTGAGTGTTGCTTGAGGTGAATAATTGTTCATTTATTGTTGATGTATGCCTAAACATACCAGCATTGTCAGCTTCTTGGATGACACATATGATGGAGGTAGAGGTCAAGGTTAGTGGACCTGCTACGAAATAATAATAAATAAATTGACATGACTGTTTTGTTCTTAGCTTAGATCTAGAATATCTTATAATTCAAGACAATCTGCCTGAGTTTGATGCTGTATCCTTTTACAAGTGACTTTAGATAAGATGTCTTTTCAACACTGGCAGCTTTGGAGGCGGCTCCATGGTGTTGATCAATAATCAGTCCTTTAAAACAGCTTCTACACAGTCCCTACCTGACAGATTTGAATTTGATTTATAATGAAAGAACAGGGCATCTCTATTTTAGGTTTAACTAAAACATATAACTTACCAGCAGTGTCAGCTTCTTGGGTGACATGACTGTGTTCAAACCTGGCCTTTCTGGTTTTGTTCTGTTAAAGGGAGGGAATATCAATGCTGACATGAGCTGAGGTGTAAAGGTCAAAGACATGTGAGCTAACAGACTTAATGAGCAGCAGGTGGCGCTCAAACACAGTCTGATTAATTTTAATGTTTGTTAATAGTGTTGAGGTTTGGACTGTTGGTTGGACACAACAAGCATTGTGAAGGTGTCACTTTGGGCTCTGGGTAACTGTGACAGCATTTCTCAGTATTTACAGAATCTTTACAAACCAAAGAATCAATCGATTAATGGAGAAAATAATCAGCAGATTGATCCATAATGAAAATAATGATTATCTGCAGTCTGATACAAAATAGTTCAAAATGAACTCCAGCTCAACAACTACAGCAGTAAAATCCTGCTTTTACATTAATGAGTCATTAAAATAACAGAAACTTTATGTAATTAATATTTTTAAGGCTGAAAAATCAAAAGGTATTAGCTCTGCCTTATTTTATGGGAGTTTTGTGCCAGTGTGCTGGCTAGCTGCGTTGTATAAAACGTACGAAGCCGGAAAGGGAGTCCGACTTCATCTGCTTCTGAGCCAGGACCGCAGCCAGCATGCCTGTATTGTGTTACACGTAACAATTATGCAGCAAACATATGAATAAACAAATGAGGCATATTAGCAATAGTCTTTCTATATTTATGGATGGATGTTTGTGAGTGAGAGAGAGAGGAAGGAAATGAGAGAGGAGGGGCTGAGCGAATAATAAAATGCTGCGGCTTTTACAGTCACCAGATCTCAATCCCAATTTCACACCTGTGGAAGATTTTGAAGCAACATGTGAGACAAAGCTCTGCAACACCATCTCCATAAGACCACATGATGGAAACTAAACTCTCATCTTTACAATATGTAGTGATGTCTGTGACTGTCTCTGATGCTGTATGTGCTTCTGTTTCTCTGCTGTACTCAGGTCCCTCTAAACACACTTCATACAAATACATATACCAAAATATTTGCTATGGTCTGAACAGATGGAACCCTGCCCCAATACATTGTATATTTCCTTGTAAAGAAATGAAAAAAAAAGCAGTAACAACAAACATTTGTCTTTGTGATATTTATTAAAAGTAAGAATAACAGAGTGATTCAGCTGAAAGGTCACAGCTCATACACGCGAGGTCGATTAGAAAATCTGACCCAGAGAAGCAGATAAGACATTTAATGCTAGAGAAGATGTGTGGAGTCTACGAGAAAAGCCTTTCTCAGCCTTGTGCCACAGTGGAAACTATTCTTTCTACACCAACGTCACACATTTGAAAGAGGAAATAGATAACTTTCTTTGGCAGGAAGCCGTGGTTTGATACTTATTCAGCTTGCGTTTATTTACATATCTGCTCTGGTTTTATCATTTCTGAAGCAACGACTGTAACTACAGACAAGCGGCTTCCATATATATTTAGAATACGTTAAATACTGTAGTTCAACCACTCATTAACGTTAGCACTGCTCCACTGATAAACATGGTGTTAGCTTCCTTTGTGGCTAATTTAATTTAGCAATGGGGCAGCATTAGCTGCTGTAAGCAATGTTAGAGAATAGGGATGAACAATTTAGGGGAAAAAATCTAATTGCAATATTTCTGCCAAATACTGTGATTAAGATTTGATTTGTGTTGAATTTTTTAAGTTTAACTAATTTTCAATATTCATTACGAAATAGATTAAACATGTTATGGCACATTACAACATAGAGACCTAATTATGATTCCTAACCTGTCGTCTTTGATTGCAAATCAGAAAGTGTTACAGGTTAAGTTTTGCAAGTGAAACAGTTTTGCAAGTGGAGAAGTTTTGCGAGTGAAAAATGTTCGAGATAAGAGTTTCAGTGGTAACAGTATCGGTGGGTTTGACCAATCATGGGTTTGTTTCAATGGCATGGCCACGCCCACAATCCCCTTGCTCAGACGGAGTTGTTAAGTGTAAAGGTTGAAGAAGGTAAGTTGACATTATGTTGCTAGATGTAGTATGCCGTGATTGAATGATTATTTACATTTACAATTGTCAAGGTCACAGTCTATCATGGCTCCTTTTTAAAGAATGACATGTATATCAGTTAGCTGACGTTAGGCATGAAGCTCGGAGGACCTGCACCAGCTTCACCTCGAGCAGTCCTGGGCGATATTATATATTAGTGCAAATCTAGTTTTCTAGCACCTAAAAGACAACATGGGTATGCAGTGATTGACAATGCGCACACACACACACACACACACACACACACACAAGTAGACTCAGCAGGGGCCGTCACACGTCCTACATAAGAGACAGACGACAGGTTAGAAATACGTGCAGATGGAGAGCATATTCTCCCAACTAAGAAACATCTGTCAGACGCCTAATTTCTCTACGTAATCTAGCATTACATAACTCCGGAACCTCAACAGCTACCTGTCTTCTCTGCCAGCAGCCCTAACTGGCATGCGAACGCTGATTTACCAAGTTTTGCATGCACCTCGCGGGAGCTAACACTGAGAAAAATCTTGAATAGTATAACATTGGCAGCCACACACAGCAATGAGTGCCCTGCTAGGCTTGGCCGTCCGCACCGCTTCCCAGAACGGAGAAACATTGTCCACCTCAACTCTCTCCCCTCAACACTTCGTGGTCCGTCCCTCTTGTCCTCATAGGCCCAGGCACTTATTCTAATATTGTCCGCAGATCCTTCCTCTCCCCCACCGTTACAGTACCTGGCCACGGCTAGCATTGACTTTACGTTACTGTTACATTGCCCGTTTGGTAAGTTAAACGTTAACATTGCATTATGTCGTCTAACACACAAGCAGGACCATTAGTTTCCAACTTCACACAGATGCCTTTTGTTCAAAAGTATTATCGCCCTAAATTATAACACTTCTGTTTTAACGTTACGTTTTGACTTTTGTGCACGCTGGTTTAATAACTGCGGCTAGCATACACTCCCATTAAATTAGTATAGTTAGCACATTTTGAAGTTGGCTAATTAGCTAGTTAACGAGCTAATCTAACATGGTATGAATGCAGAATCCAATACCCATTTACTGCTATCACATAAATAAAATTCTAGAATTTTACTCACCAAAGAAACGAAAGTACAGGCTTCTTGGACGGTCTGATATTACTATTAACCAAATAGCAACTAACATTATTTGCCCCTGTATTTGCATGTCAAAAGGAACAAACATGGCTGAGAAGTCAATTTCTGAGGCAGCTAGCAGACAGACAGCAAGGCAGCATGGGGATTGTGGGCGTGGCCACGTGGTCAATCCACACCCATGACTGTTCAGTCAAACCAATAGAAACTGTTATCGAATTTCTTCAGACCTAGCAGAGTGGTTTCTCTCCAGTGTGAACACGTTGGTGTTTTTTCAGTTCCCCTGGTGTAAGGAAAGCTTTCCCACACTGGTAACAGCTATACGGTTTCTCTCCAGTGTGAACACGTCGGTGGACAGTTAATTGAGGTGATGTAAGGAAAGCTTTCCCACAGTGGTCACAGCTGTACGGTTTCTCTCCAGTGTGAACATGTCTATGGACTTTTAGGTCACCTAATCTGGAAAAAGCTTTCCCACATTTCTCACACCAATATGGTTTCTCTCCAGTGTGAACACGCCTGTGGACATTTAGGTCATCTGATCTAGAGAAAGCTTTCCCACACTGGTCACAGTTGTACGGTTTCTCTCCAGTGTGAACACGTTGGTGTTTTTTCAGGTCACCTGATTTACTGAAAGCTTTCCCACATTGATCACACCAGTACGGTTTCTCTCCAGTGTGAACACGTCGGTGAACTGTTAGTCGAGATGATGTAATGAAAGCTTTCTCACATTGGTCGCAGCTGTATGGTTTCTCTCCAGTGTGAACACGTCGGTGGACTTTTAGGTCACCTGATTTACTGAAAGTGTTCCCACATTGGTCACACCAGTATGGTTTCTCTCCAGTGTGAATGCGTCGGTGGATTGTTAGTTTAGATGATGTACAGAAAGCTTTCTCACATTGGTCACAGTTATATGGTTTCTCTCCAGTGTGAAGACGTCGGTGGATTGTTAGTTTAGATGATGTACTGAAAGCTTTCCCACATTGGTCACAGCTGTATGCTTTCTCTCCAGTGTGAACACGTTGGTGGACTTTAAGTACACCTGATGTAGTGAAAGCTTTCCCACACTGGTCACAGTTGTACAGTTTCTCCCCAGTGTGAATATGCTGGTGTTTTTTCAGGTCCCCTGATGTAGTGAAAGCTTTCCCACACTTGTCACAGCTGTACGGTTTCTCTCCCGTGTGAAGTCTCTGATGAATCTTTAAAGATCCAGATCTTGTGAAGGATTTGTCACAGAGCTGACAGAAGTGACGTCCTCTCCGTTTCTATATCAACAGACATACAGAGAGAAAGACAGTGAGTGAGATGTCATGGTGGAGCAAGTTATCTATATATGACATTTAGAGCCTGTCTGTGAAACATAACCCACAATGTTCAAGTCTGACTAATGCATTAGCACATGTGACAAACAAATGGGATGACACAGACCTAAATAGGAATCTGACTGTCACCACAGATCCCTCCTTGACATTTCTTAATTATCGATCAACATCACATAATCGAGTTGTTTACCTGTGTTGATAAAGCTTGACCCACACTACAGACTAAATTAGGATATCTCCTCCGACTCAGATTGACATGTTTTATGAAACCCGTCTTTCATAAGAAAACTGTTCCACTAAAAATCCGAAGTGCCCCTTGTAGGCTGGGGGGGTGCTTCAAACAAACTAGTTCATATGATGGGCCATGGGACTACATCAACAAACAAGAGCTTTCATAACCAATTGCTTAAAAGGTCAGTTTTTCCTAATGGTCCTGGTGAAGCCAGTTAGAAAACAGTTTGTAAAGACAACAATAATGTCCTCCGTATTGGACACAAAAGACAAGTCTGTTTCCACTGAAATATAAAGATATGTGGATCATTTACTAAGACCAGAAAACCCAAAACATGATGTTTTCTGTTTTTCGGTCTTCGCTGTGCATCTTTTAAAACAAATTTTACGTCTCTGCATGGACTTTCAGCACCAGATGCAGAGATGCTCACAAGTCTTTGAGCTGGAGTTCAAGTCAAGTCTCCCGTGGTTATAATGTAGATGTTTCTCTTTATTGCACCCTGAGAGAAGAGGGGGGGGCAGCAACGCCTTTTCTTCCTGCAACACTCAGACGCTTAAAACTCCCCCATGACCTCTTGAAAAATTTCTACAGATGTACAATTGAGAGTGTCCTGACATACTACTGTACAGTGTGGTACTTAAGCTGCACAGCAGAGGAAAGGAAGGACCTACAAAGGGTGGTGAAGACTGCTCAGTGGATCGTCGGTGCCCCTCTTCCCCATCTGAACAACATCCACTCTAGCAGTCTTCTCAGACGTGCGAGGAACATCAATGGAGACTCTTCACACCCAGGTCACCATCTGTTTTGCAAACTTCCTTCTGGCAGGCTCAACGTCATCAGAGCAAGGACAAACCACCTAAAGAACAGCTTTTTCCCAAGAGCTATGGACATGCTGCTGCAATCTCGAATGTTGCTCAGGTGATCAAACTGTGCTTAACACACACTGACTGCACTTTATCCAATTGCTGGACCAGTTAATTATTTCTTAATGCTAACATTGCTGTTGCATTCTTTTAATGTATGTTTTACTGCTTCATTTTATGCAATCCTTTTATGGCGTATTTATTTATTTATAGAAGCTGCTAAGTTCAATGGTTTGCTCTAAACTGCATCTCGTTGTATTTCATGTGCAATGACAATAAATTCTCCATCCATCTTGCTTCAGTCCATGTTGCTAAGCCGGTCGGTAACATGTAGCCTACAGCTGAATCGAAGCAGTTTATGGGTTTCTCGCTGGCCCGCCCTTCTCTACTTCTGATTGGCTAGTAGTCCTTAGCTATGCATGCGCAACTCCCAACAAACATCATTTAGAGACTAGGGATGTAGATCACAAGTTTTGTCACGATATGATATTATATTGATTCTTTGGGTAACAATACGATATTTGCAGATATCACAAAGCCTGCCACGATACGATTTCAATTCGATTCAATTCAGGGGCCTGCAATCAATATTAGACAATATCATATGGCCATTAAACACTTTCAGTTAGATTTATTCCAATTCACAACAAATACAACTAAAATATGATTTGACAAAATTTATTATGGAGCTCTTCCATACATTTAAAAGAAAAACAATCTCTTTAATAAAAGAAAATAGATAACCTGTTGTTCACTATAGCGCCACATTTCTCATGTTTCAGTGCAAAATCAGTTAACTAACTTTAAAGAGCCCTTTATGACTTCTTAATTATGAACATAACTGTGTACATAATATGCTTTAGTACCTTGGATTTACAAGGTTACATCTGTGTGCTCACTCAGAGGTTTAGAGATAATGAGCTTTAACATGTTCATCCCATCTTATAAATGAAAAGTGAAATAACTTTAACTTCACATTTACAAAAGAGTTCAAGCTTGTGTAAACATTCACTCATATTTAGAGTCTCAAACAATATATTTTTCACAGAAACAAAGGTCAGCATTTAAAGTGCAAATGCAGTACAGTCTTCCTGCATCATAGCTATCCACTACTACTTTGGGATGTAAAGTTTTCTTCACCAAATCAAAATATCACAACAAAGCAAATGTAAACAATTCCAAATTTGTGCATATTGAACAAGTACAAATACTTAAAGTCCTTTGCATGTAGTCATCTGTAGGTTTGATGACTATTTGGATCATAGCTTACTATGGAATCTCTACAATAGTCAATTATGTCCATCAGTGTTCTTCTTTGAGAGGTTTTTCTTCAAAAAAACAACTGATCGACATGTTCAGGAGACAAAACACTGCGTTTTGAACGAACAATGTCACCTGCAGTAGTAAATACACGCTCAGAAGGTACCCTAGTACCAGGAATGCAAAGTTATGTTTTGGCAAGGTTTGCCAGGAGAGGAAGCTCATCCTGTTGAACTTTCCAACACATTACCTCCCAGGATCAAAGATGCAGTGTCTTTATACTTAGTAGCTTCAGCATGGGCTAGTTCTCTGGAGGTCTTGACTGTCTGGCTAGTGTCCACAGTGCAGAAGGTGTCACCAAAGAGATCTTCAAGTGCCTTTGACTTCTTCAAAGCAGGAACATATTCCAAAATGACACAGAACACAAGACTTAATGATTTCAGAAGACAAAATATATTTTTCAGTTACCACAAAGAGGAAAAATATTGCGCGCACGCACACACACACACACACACCTTGTTCAGTGGCTTGAGCCTGAGACACTGGCACCGACTCAGATTGATCAGCAGAAGTTTGGTCACCAGATGAGTGAAGAGGTGTATTCTCAATATGTGCCACTGTGTCACTCTGTAAATGATTTAAACAAAAATAAACATATACACGCAAAAGCAAATGGAAAAGAACAAGCAAAGAACATTTTATTCATGAATAGCTTTTGCATTTCTAAAACATTACTACAAATAGACAAAATAAAATATGATCTTACTTTCTGGTCCCACAGCTCTGCAGCCTCACGTATGAGACAGTGGAAGGTTGCACCGCTCTCCTCCTCACTTCTGAATGGCAGCTTCACGAACCTTGGATCTAATGGCAGATGCTTTATGTAGGACTTGCTGCACATCCACGTATCGCTGTTCAAGCTCCCTGGCCATAGTCTGCTTTATCTCTGTTACTAAAGTGGAGTCTTTCTCTGAGACACTGAAGTGCTCCAACAATTTAGCTTTAAGTGGTGCAATGACAGACACAGTGGGCTGATGTTCCTCACACATGATGATGGTGGCACTTTTCACTGGTCCAAGTAGCTTCACCAAGTCTTCAGCTGTAGTGATGTCACTTTCGTTGAGTGTATGTACGTCATTTGCTTTCCTTAGTTTAGTTTTTGTCAAACGAATTGTTCCAGCGTGTGCTAAAATTTCCTCGTCCTTTTCTTGGCTACCTGCCATGAGCATGGCACCGCTAACATTGTTTAGGAAGGAGCAGTGCCAACGGAAATAAAGATGCAGGGGTGTTATGGGGATTTCAAAATAAAGGCGCATATTATAAATGATGATACGTATCGATGTTTTCATTTTAAATCGACTATATTAGATTGCTGATTATTTAATCGATATGGATCGATGGATTGTTACACCCCTATTAGAGACATGTCGTCAACACACAAGGTGAAAAGAGGAGCTGCAGCAATGTGCAGAATGACAAAAATATGGTGCGATAACATGTTGCTGCACATACATGCCGTCGCATGGAGATGGAGAAAGCAAGCACCGAGGACACCTGCCATGGGAAAACAGATCGAGGCAGCAGTGGAGCAACGCATATACCAAAAGAGACGCAGCGGAAACCCCAAGGAGCACCCGCTATCATCCAGCAGGTACAGACCTGTTTACAAGGAACACACAAGACTACATTGGGCCTTTCTCATTTCCTAAATTTCTGCCCCCTCGACTGCTCAAACAGGCATTTAAAGAAATGAGATGTCCTTTCCTCGGTGCCGTCATTTTAAAGCAATTAAATATGACCTGTTGCACAGCTGCATCATCTGTGCACGGTTTGAGCTGTGATCTCTGTCAGAGCAGCAGACCAGCTTTTGGCACTAAAGGCTACAGATAATTTCTTCACAATCCAGAAACATTTCTGTCAACATTATAACAGAAACATCTCAAGGTTCCAATAAACAATAGAGCATCTGTTGAAAACAGTCATGGATTACAGCAGCTTAATCATTCACTAGGCTACACAGCACTACTTTTTTTGCGGTTAACAGAATACTCATATAGGCTACGCAAAGGTCATCCACCCGCCCCCCACAAACTAATTATTTTTTCAGATTTGGAGACCACACCTGCATGGACACCTGGAGCTTTCCAGGTGATTTCTTTCTTGTGTGTTATACTGATGTGCTATGAGTGTTATCTTTTACAAATTACTTTGATAATTAGAGAGGCTGCTGTCAGTCTGTTTCCATTACTGCATGTTTCCATCCGCGCAGCAAATATCGTAGGACAAAACAAAAACACCTGCAGTAATAAACTTGACAGGACAGACAAAACATTTTAAACTGGGGGATGTGTTGAATTAAACTTTCAGCTTCTATAATCCATGTTTAGACGCTCTGTTGAGCTGAGGATTGATCAGGACGGCTGCTGTACTCCAAACAGCTTCACTGTATGTAACTGGACAGTGAGTGAGACCTTTTGGATGTGTAGAAGAACACAGAACATGAATAAACATTAGCTCCTGACCGATCCCGTCAGTGTGTCGGGTGATTAAAATATTTATGTTCTTTTGCTGTTGCTCATGCGTAAATGTGCACAGCTCTCTGGAGAGGCACTTCATCCAGCTGCTACTCAGGGTTTATTTTTACGATTCTGCTGCCCATCCACACATCACATTCAGCAATAACATCAGTGATAATAAAGTCAAATCAAAATGTCATTAAGGAATGCAGTTAGAACAGCGCTTTATGCAGCGCTATACAAACGGTGAAGGGCAGAAAGTTCAACCGCGCAACAGGAACACTGCTGAGTCCTGTTGGTCAAGCTGCATGTCTCACCTTTTCTATACGTCACAGTGGCTGAAAAGACTTCCGCAAAGGATACACTGATGTATCCTCGCTTATAGCTCCTCCAGCAAGCCTCCTCGATCCTCGTTTCTCGCTCCTCAATGTGCATTTTAGGAACTGAGATGTCTTTCAAGATGGCGCGCTGAGATTTATTTCTGGGTCACAGGCTCGAGGAGGTGAGGAGGCACAAATTTGGGAAATGAGAAAGGCCCATTGTCATAGTAGACCACTACAGCAGGAAACTACAGCACTGTACTGCATCAACATCAGCACCAAACTCAAGCCTCTCGCAGCATTGCGGAATCTGTCATCAGCAACAACGGGCCATGCTACAGCTCAGAGGAACTTCAGCACATCACAGAGGTACCGGATTTCAAACACAACACTAACAACCCCCGATGTCCTCAAAGCAACAGCCTTGTTGAAAAGACAAAGTGCAAGGTAAAACACATCCTAGCACAGACGAAGCTGAATGCAAAGACCATTCCCTTGGTTTATTAGAAAACCAGAACACACTGTGAAACACCTGAAGTCACCTGCTCAACTCCTGATGAGCTGATGACACTCGAGAACGACTGCAGCCAGCAAGGCTATCAATATAATATTATTTAATTTAGCTTCAAGTTAATTATTGGTTCTGATAATAATTTAAACAGTATATACACTACAAGTCTGTAGACCAGATTCAGCTGCTCTTCAAAAATGGTTTGTTTAACACTTAAGTTTGTTGGTTAAAAGTCAATAGAATCGATTTGTTCTCAAAGGAGCAGTTCTTTTATATTTGTTGTTATGACAGGAGAAGTAACATGCAGTTTGTGCATTACAGGACAAGTTTTACTATATGAATGCATGAATTATATTAATTGAAATACATGGATATATACTTTATGTTGCCTTTTAGTTTATGTTATGTGTGTGCTTCCAACATGCAGTTTGTGCATTACAGGACAAGTTTTACTATATGAATGCATGAATTATATTAATTGAAATACATGGATATATACTTTATGTTGCCTTTTAGTTTATGTTATGTGTGTGCTTCCATGGGAGCTGCCATTGTTGTGTGACGTCATTCAGCTACCACTTGTAGGCTGCATCCGAAAAGTAAAAAAAGTCTCCTTTCCTAACCACCTTTCCTTGAGCTCGATGGAAAACGTTATGGGGTCAAGGCAAGATGTGAAGGAGAATCCATAAGGACTTAGCAAAAGAGGACAGCGGGGCTTTGAGAATCCGACTGCTCTTTTCTAAGCGACGTAATTATGCAAAGGCAGATGTTATTCATGTGAACTGCCTTGATGAAACTACAATGTTCTGAAGATGGACTACTAAAAAGCGCATCTTTGACACTGCCATCTAAAAAGGTGGAAAACACCGTGGAGCAAAAAGGCACATAGGGTAGACCAGTCACCAAATAATGAGGGTTGTTGTCACATTGAGAATTCTTGCTCACACTCACCCTCCTGCCCACATTCATCAATGTGAATCCCACTTAGGCTATTGTCTGTAAATACAGTGTTTCCCACAGAATGACAGAGCACTGTGGCGAGAGGAGGTGCTGAGTGAGCTGAGCTGTGTGCTGCACAGATCTCCTGTGATCAAATACGATTTTACCCATTTAAAATAGTAGCCTAATGTTTAAAATATGGCAGGCCACCACAAATAAATCCATGTGTGGGAAACGCCTACTGTAGGGTTCATCCAGCATGACCGTTGCCTTTATTAGGGCAAGGGTGTCAGCATCTGTGACTGAAGTAAAATAAGATAAGAAAACCTTTATTTGTCCCACAGTGGGGAAATTGCAAACTTAATGATTTTGCTGAAGGCTGCACTACATAACGTGAGGCTACACGCTGCAACCATGATCACACTTTGATCATGGCATAAGACCAGTAACAGCTCGCATGGGTCTCAGTTATTGTTGACAGAATCAGAAACACTTTATTGATCTCCGAGGGGAAAATTCTGTGATGTGTGTTTAAGATATGCATCTTAGCAATTTATGGCATAAGAGAGAAAAGGCTTAGGCTAATAGCCAATGGTAACTTACATGGTGATCAACATCCTTTATCTGTCATGGTCGGTGATTTCTTTTTTTAAAGTTATTGTAGAAAACACTTTGTAGCTTATTTCAACAATCAGAAACATAAAACGGTGTTAAAACAGCCAAAACAAAAGAAAGAAGGTAATTGTGAGTTTTATTCAGGTATCATAATGTGCGTCTGTATTGGAAGGATTTTGCTACATTTTATTGTTTGAGAATGCGCGTTGCTTTAAATGGATCTCATTACAGCTCCTGGACTGAGCTGGACTGTGACTGGACGAGAGATGGCAGAAGGAAGTGACGGTTCAGGAAGTGAGTTAGGAGAGATGGTCGAAGGTGGCTGGAGTTATGAAAAGTGGAATATAGCAGGTAGGAAAAATAAGCGTAAAAAGAGCCTAAAATCAGATGGGAGTGACAGTGATGGGAGAGCAACTGTAACAGAAAGGAGGAGAGAGGATTTTAAGGTAATAGTAAAACTTGTGCAAGAGGGGAGAATAACTATATCCATAAGTAAGGAAATCGGGGAGGTAAGGAGTGCTAAAATATTGCAAAATGGATCATTACTAATTATATGTAAGGACAGAGTCCAACAAAGACAAGCAGTCAGAATGAATAAAATAAATGTCAAGAAAGTATAATGTTCTCTGACGACTGAGACAATTGGTCAGGAGAGTTATTACAGGGATTACGGTAAATGTAACAGCAGATGAACAAATGTAACAAACGCTAAAGTGAGTGAAGTCAGACGTCTTAAAGCAAGCAGAAATGGGATTAAAAGTGACAGTTTCTCTGTACTGAATAAGCTACGCAGAGGCAGCAAAGAAGGTTTCAGGAGACGTGCAGGTGACAAGGCAAAATGACACTAGAAATAAAGATGGAGGGACATGTGGAGGATGTGATAAGTTGAAGGAGGAAACTGATTGTGAACAAGAATTACTTTATATCTGCCATAAAGAATACAGTCAACTGTTCAGCACAGACAAAAAGCTGAAATGAAAGGATCAAAATAATTGTCAAATCAGCTGAGAAGTACCTTGATGTGAGGGGGCTGCACTGGGAAACAGTTAAAGACATTCTTAATGAAGATAATCTCAGACATGTGTTGGATCCTCTTAATGGTGCTAATTCTACTCCAGTGGAATGCAAGAAGCTTAATTTCAAATGGCCAAGAGTTTAAAAAGTATATTGATAAGTTGGAAGAGAAACCTGATGTAATTTGTATACAGGAGACATGGTTAAAGCCACAGTTGGACTTCATTATAAAAAAAAGGGATATACTGCTGTTAGGAGAGGTAGAGAATCTGGTAAAGGTGGAGGCACTTTCGTACAAAATGGAATGAGTTATAAGGTTATATGTATATGTACAGATCATGAATCAATTGTGGTTCAGGTATGGACTAATAGAGGTAATATTGACAAAATGAATTACTATAATCCTTGTGGGAAAATAAGTCTAGATAACTAGAGGATGTTGGAGGACTATTGCAAGATAACGTGATACAGTGTGGGGATTTTAATTCACATAATTCACTATGGGGCAGCAATAAAACAGATTTAAATGGTTTAGCAGTTGAAGAATTATAGATAATCACTGTTTGGTATGTATTAATAATGGAGAAGGAACACGATACAATAGTGTGCAAAACACAGAGGCAGCGCTTGATCTAACACTTGTGTCTAGTGAAATAGCAGGTTTAAGCACATGGAGCGTGATCAAACATGCCACAATAGGAAGTGATCACTACCCTGTGGTAACTAAAGTTGGCATTGAAGGTCTTTATGATGAGGGAAAGAAAATTCCCAGATGGAAATTGGGAAATGCAAACTGGGATGTTTTTCAAAAGATCAGTACAAACAGATTCAGGAAACTCAAAGAGGAGAACCAGACAAATGTAAACATAATCAATAGTAAAATAGTTAATGAGATTATTCAATCTGCCGAGGAAACAATCCCTAAGAGTACAAGAACTAAACGGACCAA